GCTGTGCATTTTGTGGCTCTTCCTAAACTCCCCTCTGCTCTGGAGACCGCTGAACTCCTGGTGCTTCATGTCTTTCGTCTTCACGGTATTCCTCTGGACATTGTCTCTGATCGGGGTCCTCAGTTCACCTCCCAGGTTTGGAAGGCATTCTGTCAGGCCCTTGGAGCTTCTGTGAGTTTGTCTTCAGGTTTTCATCCTCAGACCAATGGACAAACAGAGCGTGCCAACCAAAACTTAGAGGCAGCTCTCCGTTGTGTGTCTGCCAGGAATCCCACCTCTTGGAGTGTCCATCTTCCCTGGATTGAATACGCCCACAACTCCCTAAAATGTGCAGCCACAGGTATGACTCCATTTGAATGCTCTCTGGGTTACTTACCACCACTGTTTCCTGCCCAGGAGGGTGAGGGGGTACTGTGACAGTCGTGACTGTCGTTCCCTGTGTTTCCCTGTGTTTTCCCCATTCTTGTGTTGTGCACTTGTCTCTGTCTGTGTGGTGGGCGTGGCACATTTCCCTGACTCTGCCTGGTTAATCACTGAAGCACACCTGCCGTTCCTCAGCACCTGCCTTCAATCAACCATCACTCTGACGGCATAAAAACCCTGGCCTTTCTCCCATCAGATCGTTTGTTCAGCCACCGTGGTAGCTAACGTCCAGATTGACTTTAACTGTTGTTCTTTGTGATTCCTGTTGAATTACAAAATAAATCCTTGTTTTTCACTTAACGTCGTCTGAGCCTGCATTTGGGTCATTACCGGTTTAAATCATGACACAACATTAACGCATTTCTAGCAGAAAGATAAATAAAATAATAATAATTATATTTACATAGTATTTGGACAAACAGAGTGCGGAAGTTTAGAGTCATCTAGTGGTAAAGTTACATGGTTGACCACAGCATCCACGTTGTGACAAGGAGCACTTGGTTCGTAAAAGTTCAAATGCATAGCATTGTAATATATACATTTAATTGGCAGATTTCAATATAAGTTAATTCCATTGAGACATATCGAAAACACTAACAAGAAAGTATGACAGTTGTTTCTAACCATTCAATCTGCCGTGTTTGACAACACGTGTACAGCTTGTCCATGAAGTCTGCGCCATGTTGGATCACCATGATTGACTAAATTGTTTTTAACCATTTGTTACATTGGTTACAAATTATGAATTTTCAGCAAACAATGAATTTTTTAAGCATGAATAAATATTGAGTAAATTTGAAAAATCAGAGTAAATCCGAAATGACAATTAGTTAAGTCATGTACTTGTAATGCTATAAAGGTTATTCTGAAATACTATATATTTATACATTGTTTCATGTACTGTTGGTAAAAGGATAGTTCTATAGTTAGTTTTAATTTAGGTGTTTTTAAGGGTAAGAGTATTTTATATATACCATGTAGATAAGGTAATTTTCTAGTGTTGAAGACTAATTTCCATGTTAACATTTTGTCAGCCCAGCCATCAGAATCAAAGTAAGAATACACACCTCTGTGAGTAGGGATAGTAAATAAAAAATTGTTAAGAACATTCTTCTAATACTGTACCTTCTACTACATATCCATATAAAATAAAACATTAAAGCAGTTTACCATGCCAAATACAGTAAGTCTGGAATATGTGCAAGTATCCATAATAATCCAGGTTGAGGTGGTTTGGATATGTGTGGAGGAGGGACAGTGGATACATTGGTAGAAGAATGCCAGAGATGGAGTTACCGGGTAGGAGAAAAAGAGGAAGGCCAAAGAGGAGATGTATGGATGCAGTGAGGGAGGACATGCAGATAGTTGGAGTCAGAGTAGAAGATGCAGAGAACAGGGTGAAATGGAAAACAATGATTCGCTGTGGCAACCCCTGAAAAAGGGACAAGCCGAAAGGAAAAGAAGCTCCGTAATAATGGCCAGCAGAATATGTGAGTAGGCAGAATCAACCCACGCTTTAATTTAATTCATTGCATATAAAAACATTTTTTTTTCATTATTTTATTGTTTTTTACATAAAGTTGTATGATCTATAGTGCTATCCAATAGACTGCAATTAACAAGGAATCCATTAAAATAACATTGTAATCGCCCTGTGAAACTTCCAGATACATTGGCATTCTAAAGACATAACCCAAAAATAATTGTCCTGAAGACCTTTTTTACAGTTTGTGTTTTTCTTTCATACCATAAAAATAGAACACAGAATGAGAAAAAATCCCACTGTTTCCATTGGTCCAGGGCTGTATATAATCTACAGTATGTGTGTCAAAATAAGTCTTCGTCCTAGGACACAGATGTCACTTAATCCCAACCCAAATACCCCACATTCCCTACCCTTTTTTATACTACAGAAATATACTCAAGCCTTCTCCTATCCAGGCAAAACGATGTCAGTGGTTTTTGAATATTGCAAGTAATGTGAGTGGAATGTGGGCCAAGCATAGATAGGCAACACACATGCCAGTGTTCCAGCCATAATTTAATGCAGCAGTGGCTGAACATGCAGATGTGTCTGAAAGCCTTTGTGCTTCAGGGGCCGTGGTCCACGACCAACTGCACACTAGTGCCACATTCAGTGTTTCCAGCTGCAACCAAGTGGATGTAAACAACACTGGAGTAACCTCCTGAAGACCCAAAGAAGCAAAGTTACCTCCATACTGTTTCAACCAACATGCTGAGTTACATCTTTGAGTGGCTAGTTGCAGTGTTTAAAGCAAGTGTGAGTTGATCAGACCACGTCTACAGCAAATGTGACTCTTTCGACATCCAGCTTTAGGCCACACAACACTCACGTAGTAAATCTACGACTCGGCGTTGACCTGTATTTCAACAACCCGTGCACTCCCAATAAATTTCTCCTCAATGCACTTTTAAAGTTAATTTGGCTCTTTTTAACTTTTTTCACAACAGCAGATCAGGCCAACCCAAGCCAACCGATTTACCAATGCAGCAAAAGAGAAATAGAAAAATCAAAGAAATAATAAGCTTGAATAAATTACATGCGTTGAATTTAAGGCACGGCCCATGGGCCAAGGAACAGGAACAGTTTCTTTTTTAAAAAACACAATTTGGCTTTCCCCCTCTATTCACTGAGCTAGTTCAAAGCTCATGTGTAATAAACACTCTCTCAAGAGGTACGTAATACAGCCACACATCACCAAAAGGGATGATAAGAATCAACCATTTACAACAAACGGCCTTATGATAATAATAATAATAACATTAATAATTATATATTATATACAGCATAATAAATATGTCTGTAAAAAGCGATAAAACCAGAAAATCTTATTACAGGTAACTTGGCACCAAAAAGATAAATAAAAATCTGAAAATTACATATAATTAAAACCTTGAAAGCACTAATTTAGTGTCTAAAAATATATGCGTTTTGTATCATCTACAAAGCATTGCATTGTCTCCAAATGTGCTTAAAAGAACTGCAGGCAATGATAATAAATCGAAAGGCTTCATCCACATAATCACACATATCCAGTAAAGATGAGTAAAGCACAAGGTTTAGAGTAAGGTTTCTTAAATAAATTCTACATTTCCACTCATAGGACAAACCAAATTTGAGTATAATGACATGGGAGTAGTATTATGATAATTATGTAGCATGTTTAAACACTTAAGAACACTCCTGATGCATCCCACATGTAAACTACTACACAATATGTTAATATGTGTCACTCATGTCTCCCTAAATAATTTAGAAGAGTGGCAAATGCAAACAAACGAACAATAAACAATAAACATTGGATAGTTAGGTACAGTTTCATAAAAATAATGAAGTCTAAAAACTGCATTGATGTCTGTTTGGGTTTGAGCTTAATGTCAATCAGGGTTCTTTTAAGGAAGACTACCAGACTGGAGAAGTCCATTGTGCTGCAGTTTTCATTTCTGCAACATCCAAACAGAATTTTACCAGACCAGCAGAGCATTTCGATTTCTACTGTACAGTGAGAAGGAAATTATCCAATCATGAGGGGAATTTCTGCTGAAGCATGTCAGTAATCCGGCCGATAGTCGAACCTCGGATTCAAGAGGAACAATGCGGATTTCGTCCTGGTCGTGGAACACTGGACCAGCTCTATACCCTCCACAGGGTGCTTGAGGGTTCATGGGAGTTTGCCCAACCGGTCCACATGTGTTTTGTGGACTTGGAAAAGGCTTTCGACCGTGTCCCTCGTGGTATTCTGTGGGGGGTGCTC